TTCTCCATTAACTTGGCCAGCTGTGGGCCCTTTTGGTTCCGTTGCCCTACCCCAAATTTCCTTACCTTCAGCCCACCGTTCTCTTTTGGTAATTTTGCTTTGAAGTCTCCCATTAACACCGTATAGTGTGTTTTAGAGAAATGAATGGCTTTTGAAATATCCTTATACATTTCCTCCACCTCCTCATCGGGATATCATGACGTTAATGCGTAAACCTGTATGACCTTTAGCGAATACCGTTTGATGATTCTGAGTATAAGATACGGAACCCTCGTCAACACACTCCCAATCTTTACAACGTTGTTAATAAGAGACTTGTGGACGATAAACCCAACACCTCCTTCTACGACCAAAACGACCAAAACTTAGTTGCTTCAATCCGCCTGTAATTTTGTTATACTGGAGTTTTTGGAGTCCCCAATTCTCGCTCGACTCTCCACTATTTTAGGCAAAGTGAATCTTGCGTGTCATGGATTATTTGCACGAAATAAACCTCTTTTTGCATTAGGTACGTAAAGTGAAAACGAAGTATGCTTCAAATAATTTTGTATCTCGTTCATGTAAAAATTTTAACTTAAAATATTGTGAACTGGATATCTTACACCATAAAAATAAAAAAAATACGTGTGGCACTCGGTGACTGCCGTGGTAAAGCTATTGCATAGCATTTTTTATCAACTTATGCAATTATAATTATTTATTTATTTTATTTATGCAGTTAAGTCTTTGATATTAAATCAAGTGTAACTTGATTTAATATCAAAGACTTAACGATCGTGGTGACCGATAAGAAAACAATTTTTTTTCTCTTATTGAATAAATGAGAAGTTAATATTGTTTAAAATATTTTTAATATCTTACAATACATGTAGGTTATTCAGGAATTTTTATCATTCAGTTAGCAGCTAGTGTACACGCATACGTCTAGTCGCACGCACACAAACACCGTGCCGAACTCTGCCGAGTGCTGAAGTCTGCCGAACTGAAACGACGTTAGACGATGCACGACTTTCAACGCCACACCTCGGTGCCCGTCGGAGTGGGGAGCGTGAGGTTTTTTTCGTTACGGAATTTCTGGATTCGGTCCCCGCGCTCAAGGCCCGCAATAGAAGCTATGCAATAGCTTAATAGTTATAAAAATATTGTAAAACTTAATTTATAATTGGTAGCTTTAATATGTTGTATGTATAGTATTTCTTTTAGCTGCTTAATTCTTAATGTTTAATTATAAATACCATTAAATTTTGTATATAAAAATGTAAATAAAAAGCAAATAAATAAATAACTATGCAAAGGTTAGGGATAGTTTAGTAGTGCTCGAACAAATGTTCTAAAGACCAACAAGAGTCAACTGCTGGCGGTAAAAAAATGCAAGATTGTGAATCTAAGATGGTGGTCAAACACCAACAATGACGCATTGAATAAAATGAAAAGACTTGAGTGTGTTCCGTTTTAGACTGTGACCACTGTAAGGTATGACGTCAATTAAGTATACTGTGAAACCGTTATTTTTAAGTTAGCTATACTAATTTTACTGTTTAAAATAGAACGCAGTCCATTATACGTTCATCCTCATTTTTCGGCACTGTTTTCAAATGAAAATATTTATCATGTACCTACACATTTTCTGTTAAACAAAAAAAAATGTTATTTGAATGTAGCTGCTATTGAAACTTAATGTAAGAGTTTATATGAACAAAAATATTAATTAATAATTATAACAATTATTCGTAGAAGTTGTTAAATCTCTAGGTGCTATTACGAGTATGTTCTTGATCGAGTGATCAAAGTACTGAGAGCACCTTACCTCGCAAGCACCAGTGCTCACAGTACAAAAATGGCAGTGATTTATATTTTCCATATATTTTCTTAGGGTACTACTGCAGTATTCTGGTAGTCCATAACAGAACGAATTTTTCACCAGTGAGAGCACAGAGCAGTGCTCGCAGTTTATATCGGAACGCGGCATTAGAGACATGTTCAGCGGTAACTAAAAAAAATAATTGTAAAAACATTTTAAAAGCAAGCTGTACAGTGCAACCGTACATTTTAGTGTGTAAGCGATTTATTTATGTCAATATAATTTGCGTCATTCACTTTAGTTTTGAGCAATGGACAGTTGACGTTGTCGCTCAGAACACGATAGACGCGTTCTATATCATTATCAATATCATTATATAATATCATTATTTATTACTTTCTTTATGGGCAGTATCGATATCCACTTACCAGCCACATTGTTTTTCGCTGTAACCAACTGTCCTTTATGTGAGCCCCACTTGCCCTCACGTGGTACCCACTTTACTGCACTCCAGTGCACCCACCACCACCTCAGCCACCTACGCCTCCACATCTACCACCGCACCCCTCTCTAAGCCTTCGTTCTCCACCTCTGCTACCTCCGCCTCCACCATAAACTCTCCGCCTCAACAATAAATTCCGCTCCCTCCGCCGCCACCACCACGCGCCATCACTATTCTTTCCGCCTCCAACACAATCTAAGGTCGACCCACTTTTGACCCCGCTCTCCCCGCTTTCCACTATCTCCGTCTTCACCACAAATTTCTTTCCTCCGCCTTCACCACAAACTACGCTGCATTCACCTCCGCCTCAACCACGTCTCCATTCTTCGCCTCCGTTTTCTGCGCTCATACACACACAAACACGCACTCAGACGAACACACACGCACGCACACACCTGCACGCGCGCACGTGCACGCGCATACACACACGCGCGCTCGCGCGCACTAGCATAAACACACGCAGCACACACACGCACATCTACACACACACACACACACACACACACACACACACACACACACATACAAACACACGCGCGCTCACACATATATACACGCGTGCGCAGACACACACAAACGCGCGCGCGCTCGCACACACACACCCGCACATACACTCACACACACGCGCGCGCGCACGAACGAACACACACATACACGCACAAGCAAAAACAGACACACACACACACGTGCGCGCGCAAACGAACGAACATACACATACACGCACAAGCACATACACACACATACACACACACACACACACACACACAATAGTGGACACACGCACGCAAACACACACGCGAACACACACATACACGCACACACAAAACGCGCACGCACACACACACACAGACACACACACACACACACACACACACACACACACACACACACACACGAACAACTGTTAACATACGCACGCACACACTCACTCACTCACACACACACACACACACACACAAACACACACACACACACACACACACACACACACACACACACACACACACACGCACGCACGCACGCATGCACGCTCACTCACATACTAACACCGACATACACCCCCACGAATGCACACGCGCACACACATACACACACACACACACACACACACACACACACACACAAGCAGACAACCGCACAAACACACGCACACTGCTGCACACACACGTACTCAGAAAAAAACGCAACAGTGCACACACGCACACATAAACTCACATACACGCGCACGAACATGCATTCACACGAACACAACGAACGCACATACACCCACACGCACGCGCAGATACAAACTCGCACAAAAACACACACACACACACACGTAAACACACGCGCGCGCACTAAATGGCACCCCCCACCCTTACACATACACACATACTCGAGTGAAGTGTAAATTAATTTGTAATAAAGTACTATCCATCATCTTCTAATTGATCTATGACAAATGAACAAAATAACACAAATTCACTTACACGATAAAAAAACTCGAACAAACGTCTTTCCACAATAAATCCTGCCAAAGTTTGATCCACAAAAGCAGCAGATAACGCATTTTCTTACCTCATTACTATAACGAAGTAGCCTACTGGGTTCTCTGTCACACTCAGAACGCGACGTTGCCGCTTCGTGTTCGAGTACCTATTCGTCAATTATGGCTCCGGATCCACTTAGTCTAAGTAAATGTCGCATATAAATTAAATATACAAAAATCTAAAAAATCATATTCAGTATGATTTTTTCGACCGTTGTTAGATCAACAAATGTTGGTCAAATCGCTGACGAGTATATTGAAAACCTGTTAGTGCAGATCCAATGAAGTCACACGCGCATCAAGGATGGATCAAAGTATATCAGTTTGTGCGACGAGGAGCTGAGCAAACACGTCAAATAGGTGGATCAATTGTTCTAACTTCTCACTGGATCAACATTTACCGAGAAAGGATGATTATATATATAATAAATCATATACTTATATTAATAAAATATTATTTAAATTATAGTAAGTTACAAATTTACCTCTCTGCTTAGTAAGTGTTATTCAGCATGTTGTGAAACTCTGTTATTGGTTAAGTGTACTATATTTTTAAGTATGTTTGTAAAAAAAATACTTTTGAGTTTCCTAATAAATATATAAATAAAAAAAGAATCAATATAAAATTTATAACTAGGATGTAATCCTTCGTTTTCGCTCCAATTTTTTGGTTGAGCCATTAACGGCCAAAGAACCCACTATTAGGTGGACTGTGTGTTCGTTTGTCACACTTATTTTATAAAAACCTAACTTTTTATCCAATAGGTAAATATTAACTATTCATTTCTTATTCGCAAACGTACTCATTTGTGTAATGCAATGTGCTGGTAGATTAAGGCCATTCATATGTTATTGAAAATTATTGGTATGAAAAGAAAAAGAAACGTAACGAGGAAAACGTTATACGTTTTATGCTGTGTCTTTTACGCTGTAACTGGAGGAGATTCTAAACAGGCAAATGTAAAAAAACACATACTCGTATAATTACAAAATAGTTAGTGTTTCATGTAAAAATTGAGTTCGGCCTTAAATATTTAACATAATGTTTAATATCTTATGTATGAGGTCATAAATGGTATAATTATTTTTGGTGGCATACACAGAACATATCATGGAAATTCCATAAATCGTAAGATTTTTCTGGAATTTATATAAAACAAGGAACTAACCGCGTCGGCAGCTATAGCAAGACTGGGACCTGATCCATCTGCATCCATCCATCTCTGATGTCTGTCCTCATCAAATAATTCGGGGATCACCATTATATACTGCGCTTGTCAATATATGTTTCCATCTCATGAATCTTTATCTGTCATCGTTACCTTTATAACGATCCAATCTTTTGGGTTATCATACTTACATAGCCTTTATACGAGTATTTCCTTCAACTGCGCACATGCCAACTACTATTTCTGAGATGTTTGAGAAGCAATAAATCTGACACGCTGCATGTTCGCGTATTTGAAGTTTATACAATATTTTTTATTTCTTACATATGTAAGATTCCTCGCAATTTTTTCCATCAGAGCTGAGCTCGTAGTAATATTACCTAATATTGCAAATATCCCTCTCAGAAATGAGAGGAGGCCTGTGCTCAGCAGTGGGACGTATATAGGCTGTAACTTTACTTTACTTTTGCAAATACATTTTTTATTGGTACTTTTGGGGATAAAACCCGGGTTGTGCGCATCCTTTGGAGTTAAGGGCTCAGCCACTGATACCATGGCTCAACCAAAAGTCGGAGCGAAAACGGAGGATTACATACGAGTTATAAATTTGATCACGCACAGGAGCTGAGCCTATCTTTATGTAGTGACAAAAAATAAGAAAAAAATAATAATGGCGAGACAAAATTACAAAACGAAGTAATTATTTACACAGGGACGCCTATTTAAATATTTACTTCCTTTAATAATTTCCGTGAGCGTATAAAAGTAATTAAACAAATTGTATTTTTTATCTCGATGAGCACAGACACAGCTAAATTTCATTTGTACTTTCACAGTATTTATTTAGGATGTTCGTGCTGCTGTCTTTAATTACAATTCATTATGCGACAGCACCTGTATAAGTTGATAGAATGTATTTAGGACAACTTAATGTACTATGAAAAAAAATGTTAAATACGCGGTAGAGCCATGCTGCAGTTATATTAATAGTAGTAGCTGTAACACGAATGGGTCGACTCGACTGGGGAGAGATTCAGAAATTTGCTTGATACAGGTGGCTCAGGACCGTGCTTTGTGATATTCATATTTCATAGGAGTGGACTTCTAAAGGGCTGTAATAATAAATGGATGAATGGATGCTGCAATGCTCTTTTGAAGAACTACAGACCGATATCCCTTGTGAGCCACGTCTACGTGCTATTTTCTAGAGTCATCACGAATCGTTTCGCACGCAGACTCGACGACTTCCAGCCTTCCGAACAAGCCGGTTTCCGAAAAGGCTTTAGCACCGTAGACCATATACATACTCTTCGGCAAATTGTACAGAAGTCCGAAGAGTACAATCTGCTACTTTTCCTGGCGTATGTGGACTATAATAATAATAATGATATTCTTTATTGATATAAAATGAGTTACAAATATCCCATGAAGTCTCTTAATTCTAAGCTGTGTAAGAACCGGTATGCCAGGATTCAGCACCTTCTCCCGTGTTTCTTAGTATATTGAATTAACATTAAGACAATTTTCAATTTTCCAAAAAATGTGAGAGTGTGCGCGCGCGCGTGTGTGTGTGTGTGTTTGTGTGTGTGTGTGTGTGTGTGTGTGTGTGTGTGTGTGTGTGTGTGTTTGTGTGTGTCATATTATACGGAATATGTGTATTACAAAAATGCTTTACCTATATCACTCTTTTTTCAGTATCCCCATAGTATAATGTAAATAGCCAGTTTCTTATTTTTGATAGAATCTTCTATATATTATATTTATATTGATAGAATCTACATTCAATTATGAAATTTCTTCCAGTAGGCCTATTAAAGGATACTTGAAGGATGTAGAGATAACCTAAGTGTGCACTTAGAGACAATAAAGAAGCGTGTATAAAATACTTTTCGTTTACATATTGTTTATATACATTTAACAGCTGGTATAATATATCAATAAATATTGCGTACAAGTCGAGCCAGTGCCTGACAATAAATCTCATCCCGGAATCGTTCTGCGATAAATCGCAGGCTGTTTCGTGAATATTTTAAAAAAGCTGAAATGGCGAACATCTACAGAGTTAAGAAATACAATTGTCTCAATTGTCTAAAACGAACGGCGCGTGAGTTATGGACAGCTGGGATGATTGATGGATTGTGCCAGTTGGGATTACGCAAAGTAAGCCTTATCAGCACAAGAATTCATGAGACATATTTTTTAATATGTCTCATGAATTGTAATAAAATGAAATGTATCTTTTTGAAGTGGAAATTTCGAATGGTTGTGATTCGAAAATCGATTAAACAACACAGTCATTTTTTTATTTAGAAATTAAGGAAGAGAGAAAATGCCGCTGCGTTTGCTCTTTAAATTTTTCAACAAAAAAATAAATTTGAAAAAATAAATTCAGTGAAGCACCAAAAATAGAACATAGAACATAGAACTAGAATTAAAGTATACTGTGATTAAGAGGACAGTGCCATGCCTTTAATATGTCTACCATCTGTATCTATAACATGCACTGACTTATCTCTTGCAAATGTATTTTGAATTATCTTCCTCGCGCGGTTTCTTTCTAGAATCTGCTATTATGAGTGATTTTTTCTATCCTATACGATCCTATTCCTATACGAAAGTTTTTTTTATCCAAGAAATGTTTCATTCTCTATAACCATCCGTTTTATCACACACGAGGAGCGTGTAAAAACAGCCTATATTACAAACTATTCACTATGCAACATAGAAGGACTTAAAATGAAAAAACTTTAAATTCACCGTGCAGTGACTAACTTATCTTATACCGTGGGTGTTCAAGAGGCGAAAAAGGCAAACTAAACCAGAAGATTGGCGCCAAGAACATCCGGATAACAGGTGAATAAAAAATAGCTGCTTAACGCTGTTGTGTTTCGTATGGTAAGTGTAGAGAGCCGGAGACTATTTTTACTGGAAATGAGGCATTCTATCTTAGTTTTCATGACACAAACCATCTGCATTTTGATTCGTAATCAAAAAAAAATGTAGATGTCTATAAGCCCCAGCAACCACGAACCATCAAGTGTGTGCTTGTTTGTCACGCTCATTCTATGTAAAAAATGAGGTAATCTTTAGGGAGTCCTGTGTTTAGTGTGACGTTTGATGGGCTATAATGGTAAGGATTCATAAATAGTTGAACTAGTCTTTTTTTTTAAATACATTTTTATGCACTGTTTTGTTGCAAAACGGCTATTAAAAAAAAACTAAACGTACTTAAACATAATATATATAATAAATAGTATTTTAACATCAGGTAAGCCGCATGCTCCCTTAACAAATCTTATAAAAAATGAGTACACGTAACTTTTACACGCATTCCATTCGATTCTATTACTTTATAGCCACACATATACAAGTCCGTAGCTGAACCTTATATATTTTGTGACTTCATTTTAAAAATATATTAATATAATATAATTTTAGATGAGTTGACAAATAAACAAACAATACAATTAAAGTTTAGTGGCTACGTGCAGCGCATGGGCACCTGCTTCTAACTTCAAACAAAAAGGACAGATTCGTTGTCGCCTCTGGGGGCTAAGAAGGAATATAACAATACTTAAAAAATGAGTTGCACCACTTATTATTATTTCTATATTAAGTCCCTTTTATTTATGTATTTTTTATTGTTTTAGATTTAATAATAATAAAATTATTGTTGATGTTTTATTAATAAAATAATAACGTCCTCCAGACAGTATTGCGCTCACGGCAGGCAGTCTCGACGACAAATAGCCATCAGCGTAAGAGAGGATTATATTGCCCATGTGAATGCGCAAGGATAAGTACACTCTCTATTCCCTTACCATCATAATTCTCTGGGACAGTAAATCGAAACAACCAGACATAGATCGGGTGCAGGACCAACGGCTTTACGAGCTTTCCGAGGCACGTGGGTGAGGCGCGGGGGTGAGGCGCGGGGGTGAGGCGCGGGGGTGAGGCGCGGGGGTGAGGCGCGGGGGAGGCGCGGGGGTGAGGCGCGGGGGTGAGGCGCGGGGGTGAGGCGCGGGGGTGAGGCGCAGACAACTTCCTGACACCGGGCTGCTGCTGAGAAGTTCTTGACGGAAAACTAAATAACTGATATTTTGGCCCGACCCGGGATTCGAACTCGGAACCTCATGATCAGCAGTCGCACTACTATGACCACTAGACCGACGAGGCAATAAAATAATAATTATTGTAAGTATTGAACAATATGAAATTGAATAATAATAAATTCAGGTAATACGTATAATGGCTGGTTTTTACTAGCACTCAACTAACAACTTACAGCTAAGCTAAGTTTAGAGACTGCTTACTAGTAAAACAGCATGAATTACAACAATGACTTATTTAGGTTTCATTTGGCTAAATAATGTTATCAATTTAAAAAAAAACGTAGTATATCCGATTAAAGAACATAAGCTGGTTGCACGAAATTTAGTACTTACCATACTGTTGAATATCTTTCAGGAGGATCAAAGTTTGCATCAACTTATTAACTTATTATACAACAAACCAAAATGCTGGTGCTTTATTATCCTAAGGACTAAGATATAATACTTGGTTTCTAGTAAAAAACGTCTCCGGTTCTCTAAATTACATATTACGGTTCTATTGCGGTCGAGCCGACCCGTTTGTGCTACAACCATAATGTAGCAGCAACGAGACTCCTCCACTATAAAAACCAGTCACTGTCTTTATCAATGCGGAAACTTGCATACATGGACTATAGGTTATTAGGTTATTATAATATAAATTAATACATAAATGAAAATAACCACTGAGAATGAGGTGATCGCCACCATGCTGGTTCTATAAAAATTCATTCAAAATTGTAACAAAATAAATTTATTGTAAATTTAAATATGTTAAAAAAATCTCGCTGGGTTTCTTGCTGGTTCTTCCCAGGATAGAGGTTTTTTTGCAAACCAGTGGTAAATTAAAAAATGACTTTCAATAAGTATTATAAATAATAATCTATGTTGAATAAAATCACGTCAACATCACGTCAATGTTGAATAAAATCCTACACGTTTCCCCCGGGTGGTGCT